AGCAGGAATATCCACAGGGAAGTTCCACCCCCCCATTCCCATAGGTGCACACATACACCATAACCCCCAAAGGACACCTACATTAAAACCTACTAGAAGCCTAACACATGCACACGAAATGCAGATCAGATGTGGCAGGGGTGTGGTGTTGTTACTTGCTGTTAGAGATTTCCATTGATGAAATCAGACTTCAGAAAGCACTGAGTTCCTCATTACTGGAACTATGCAAGAAGGGGAAAAAGTGCCCCCCTGTCCAGGAGGTAATAGGAGAGATTCCTGAACTGAAATGGGGAGCAAAGCTAAAGGGCTTTGAAAGTTCTTTCCAACTTGAAAACATTATGATTTTAATTATTTATTCCCAGACAATTTTTTTTAGGACACAGAGATATAAAAGTGAAACACAGGTGAGTCTTTTTTGTGCCTTTGTCTTTCATTGCTGTGCGTGGTATGTGTGTGTGTATTTGTGTAGGGGGCTGTGTGTGTGTAGGTGTGTGTGTACTTGTGTAGGTGTGTATGTGTGTAGGTGTGTAGCTGTGTAAGTTATGTTTGGCCGTCTTTGAAGTAAAATTATCTTAGTACAGTTATTATTTCCTTCTGACTTAATTGACCTTGGCAAAGATCTTATGTACAGATCGTGCATGTTGTCATCCTCTGGAAGTCTATTTGTCTATGCTGAACCAAATCAAGGAGCTACAAGAAAACATAGAAGGCCTCTGGACGGACAAAAATGTCACAGAGTTCAATCCCTTAACTTAGAGTAGAGCTCCTCAGGCCTTCCTCACTCCAAGCCTACTGACTCTTACTTCATACACAATTCTTATAAGGCTAATGATTTCATTTGCCAGCCCAAGAATATTGGAAGCAGCTCAGAGGGAATACATAAGAAGGTGGCATGAGGCACCTGCCTGTTTTATAATAATACAGTTTCATAGTGAAAACATTAGGGAGAAAAAAAAAGAATAAACGTAAAATCAGACCGATGAGTTCCCAAAGCCTGGGAGTTTGGGGCCATTTGATGCAGAAGCAAAGAGCCACATCTACCCGAACAGAACCAAGGGCATCACCAGATCACAACCCAGCATAGAAATGAATGACGGGTCGCCCTCCAGAGTTTAAATCCTGTTCGGGATCCTCTTTTGAAGAAAACTGGGGAAGGCATCAACTATTTTTTCTGTCCAAAATGGCTACTATGACAAGTTCATGGTGTAAGCTCAGCTTCCATTGTAGAACATCCTCCCAGAATGTGCAGGCTCAGGAGGCAGTACCTTCTGCAGTGCTTCTGGGGTGGCGAGGAGGATCCTGCACAGCTGTGATGCTGGAGGTCAGGCTCAGCAACCATAGAGCATGCTCCCCAGGGACAGGCCTAGCTCATCGACCTCCTGCCTCCTCCTCACTGCCCTCAGATGCCAGCATTATGTTCCCTGCGCTTCAAGCCCCATAAGCCTCTGTAGCTTGAAAGGGTGAGTGGCACTCGGGAAAGCAGCACACCAAGTGGGAGCACAGAAATTCCCTTTCTCACAGGCGGACTGTATCCTCCTACGGAGGAGTAAAGACCTCCCGCAAGAGAAAATTCCACAGGTGCCCTTGTTCACCTCGTCTCGTAACCCCTGGTTCTCGCCTTAACCCCCATGCTCTTGACTAGTGCATCATTCATTATAATTAATTAATGATTAATGGTAAGGTCAGAAGTGTTTAAGAAAGCCAGGATGGCTGCCCTATGGAGAATGTATTGCCAGGGCCCCAGTTAAGGGTGCATGTGAGAAGTCCA